ATTAATTAAAAAAATTTATACACAAGAGGACAATTTTAATGAGAAATGTTTTTTTATTATTACTATATATATCTTAGTTTTGAATTACATCAACATTATATAAAACAGTGATTTGAGTATAAAATATTGTTAATTAAAATTTACCGTACAAATTAGAAATAGTTGTTTTGAATTATGGTAAGTTCGAGTAAGGCCCAAGTCATCGAAACTCTTCCTATTTATAAAATATTATTCACTACTATTGTAAAAAAAAGTAGAAAAAAAGCATGTTGACTGTTTGTTATATATTTTGGTGGTAATAGTTATAAAACACTCAGGGTTTTATTTTAAAGTAAAATATTTATCGTAAAAAATATGATTTTTAAGTTCAACGCTTGTAGTTAAACACGAAACGCGAGATATCTGAATAAATTACGTTTTCAGATCTCTAAAAGTGAAATTGCAATGTTCGCAACATTTAAGGGTTTGACGATGTTCTATGTTTGGTCCGAGAAATGATTTATAAGAATTCCGAGTCCCAGGGGTCTACTCGATCGCGATATTTGCTATGCGGTTTAAATATTATTCATCCTGAACGGTGAAAACAGACACGCGTCGTAAATCAAACCGTCGTTTTCTGTCGGTGATTCATCGTTAATTTGTTATAGTTTTTAAAAATTTTTTAGAAATTCCAATACGACCGCTCGCGTGGTAGTACCGACTCGGTAAAATGTCCAATATTCATTAAACATATGGATCACTGATAGTGAAAGTATATTTACCATCGTAATAAAATTCTTAAAATATAATGTTTTTGACAGTGAGATAAATGTAAAAAAAAACTACCGACGTTCCGGGACGAATACATTTTTTTCGGTTCGAAATTCAAACGAATGTTTCCTTGGGGTCCATTGGCCGCGCATATTGAGCTTGGACTCGATTTGATACCATTCGCGTAGCAACGAAAACCGAGGGAAAACGACACTCGTTCGTATTATTATTAGTTATCTTATAAACTATTCGGATTCGAAAGAAAACGGAAATCGATCAACTCACGTTGTCGTTCTTGTTCGAGTAATATTTATTTTTTCATACCGAAATTTTGCAAATACCGCGCGTCGTATTTCGCGATGCGATTTCAAAAACCGTTTTTATCGAGATTTCTTCTATTTCTTTTTTTTTCTTCTCGAGAAATTTCCTTTCAATTATTTTCACTTTTTTTTTTTTTAATGTTTCCCTTTGCCATCCAGTTATTTACTATTTTATTTTTTAGTATACCTCTTACATCTACCTTGACTGCGGGATTTTTATTTTTTATACACACATTTACAAAAATTAATTTCTATCACTGTGGTATTAAGGTCAATTTCGTTGATTACTGTAGTAAATAGAAAAGTAAAATACATTTGCAAAAAACCGAGTACATGGAATTTAATTAAAATCAAATGACGAACCACTAATGGTTTTGAAAAAAAAGTCTTTCTGGAATAAAAAGTAAATTTTGCTTGATATAATCCATTTTTTTTAAATTTCGCATAGATTTCGGTGAATTTTTTCCCACGTTACGTTATCGATCGCTCGCAGCAATAAGAATGTAATATTAATTTATTAATCATTATTTTATACAGGACGCGAAAAACGTATTGAGACTTTTAAAATGAATTGTATCTTATGTTCCAGAAAAAAAATGACATTAATAAATAATAACCGGCCACGGTCCTAACGAACCGACGGCCATCAACGTGTTTTGTTACCAGGCGTTTTGTTTAGGCAATACAGGTACGTTTCGGTAGTTGGAGTCCGACAATGGGGATTGTGTGCTTGCGTAATCTTTTATATATTTTTTTTTTTGCTATTATTATTATTTAAACAACATATTTACATTTAAAACTAGTTTCATCAAAATGAACCATTTTTGATAGTTTTTTTTTCGCTGTAGAACAATAGCATGCTTGATCAACGATAAACTATAATGATGTATTATTCAAGGGAGGAGGGGAAATGAGATGAAAAAAAATAGTCAGCAAATAGTTTTCTCCGGACATTGTAGACGGAATTATCGGTAACATGGTTGCGACGTGAAAGACCAGATGAAAAAAAAATTTGTTTCAACCGAAAATCCGACCTCTGAGCGAACTTGATATCGAAAGGGTTCGGACGACAAGACACGAGAGCGGTACTGCATTGTTGGATGTGAAATAATTCGCGATTAAATACTACACGAAAAGCTGCGCACCGAGTAGTACACCCGTAACGTGATTACGTGTTACGCGAAACTTGTTTTCTCGGCCTCCCCATGTTCGTACGGATTTCGCGTATTATATTCTGAACGCGTTGCACACGAAAGCTTTGCGACAGGTTTCGGACTGTTGTTCGACCACGGCCGGCTCAAGGTATAAGCGAGCTAGGCACCTGCCTAGAGCGGCACTTTTGTAGGGCGGCATTTCCAAAATGGACTCGTACATTTTTTTTTATTTCTATTGATGTTTTACAAGAAAAATTTTTAAATTAATTTATCCGTGAAAACCACTTATCTATATAATAAAATAATATTGTCTAAAATTATTGTATTACTTTATATTATGGCCTACGCTGGATGTTTTCAATTATTCTAAAATTATAATTAACCCCACGATAACTCCCATGATTTCCGATAGTCGCGATGCAATCGTGATGAGTGTTAAGTAGTAATTATAGAAATCATTTTTAAGTCTGTATATATTTATAGAAAAAAAATTTAAATATTTTTTTATGTCACATAAAAAATAGGGGGAGAGGCTAAGTAAAACGAGAGCTCAATTTTTATTTTTAGAGGTAACAAAATTTAATTTTGACTAGTGCACTATTTTTGCTTGGGCCGGCCCCATATTCGACACGTCAGTCGGACCGTTGCAACGCAACGAACGCGATAATTGAACGATTCCTAACCGTTCACGTCTGCGTTTAAAATAAGTACTCCGTTGTTTTCGCGCGGTCATTTCATTCGCAGCAGCCGAATAATATCCTTTGTTTCCGATTTAAGAGCATTCATTTTGAATGCCATCTCACGAATAAAACGAACCGTACACACGTACATTTCATGTGTACCGCATAGTGATTTCGGATCGCTGTGCTTCTCCGCGGACTGCGTTCGTCATTGTACTTTCTCACAACAGGCGCGTACCGATATTACCATGTCTGTTTGACGTGTATAATATTCGTTTTGAAAACAATAATTATTGTTACCCACCGGTCGTAGTTCAAGGCGGAATTGCGGTCGTTCTTGAATATCGTAATTTTCACAGCGTTGGTTACATATTCACTGGCGTGACGCGTACACTAAAATGTCAAATAATAATTATAATAATATTAATTGTTAACCACTGACTGTTGTCGGTCTAACGCGCATATGGACTTCATCGATACCAGACACTGCGGTGTATAAACGCCCCAACGCTTTAGAATATTGTCAGTCATACGTAGATCATAAAGTACGTCTGGTAAACGTCGATCATTTTGTCGAAACGTGCAGAGGACGGAACGAAATGTTGGCAAACGATCCGCACGGTGACGGCCGTCACCACCATAACCGTGTTTATGTATATTTAGAATGGTTACGGTTATTATTCTAAACGATAGTGGTAGCAATAATAATAATAATAATAATAATAATAATATATTGAAAACAAACGAGAAACAAACAAAACAGACTGGGGTGATTAATGCCAGTAATCTGTTGAAACATCACACGCGTTTTACGACGACGTTTTAGCGACGACCGATCACAATGAACAGCCGAAAAACAAATAAAAACGTCATCATTGTTGATTTTAAATACGAATTTCGACAGAAGAAGAAGGAAAGAACTGCGGTACATAGTCACTGTGTTGCGTAACTTCTTTCGAAGGGTTCATGGACCCCTGCTGTATTATAGCTAAATACGTTACGTTGTTAAATCGTTTCGTTAACTGCGAACACGGATATTTGATTTTACTGCTTAAAATAAAATAAAATATTATTGTGATTATCGGTGGCGGCTCGTAGTAAATATTCTAGAGAGACTTCAATTATTTAACATAAACTCCATACAAAAACGAATAAGAAAAACCCTTTTATTGGAAAATTAATTATACTTTATACTTTATTTAATATTTAGTTAATATTTTTAACTTTATTTAATGGTACATTTTTTTTATAATCTAATTCTGCAATTTTTTTTGTCTGCGAATTCGTAGACGACAGTGTACAGCAATTAACGACGGCACAATGACACTGAAATTATTGTCATGAACCCCGATTCAATAACATATATAGTACGTGGATTTTTCTTCTCAGCCACCTTCGTCCAACAAGCCAAACCATTAAATGGTACAATTGAACCTGTAGGGCGTCAGTTTCACTGAAATGGTGATCGTCGCCGATATTATTAAAATAGTGTTTCCATCGGAATAACTATTTATGGGTTTTATGTTTTGTGTCCTTATATTTATAACAATGAATATAGAAAACGCTATAACATATTTTCAATAATAATAAAAATATTTCTAAACATTTTTAAATAGTAATTATTTACAAGTAGCTGTTTTTTTTTTTTTTTATGGGGAAACGCAATCTCAAAGCCTCCCCTGACAAGCCGTCTCTGGTGATTATATTTGTATGTAAATACAATAAAATAATATTTCGACGCTCGGAGTGCGTTCACGATTATTAATCATATTCGTAGAGCATATCCGGTACGCGGTAAATAAAATGAATATTCATTATGGCATACAACGAGTAAACAGAAACGAAAAAATTAAGTAAATTTATTAAAATAATAGGATTTCGCTCGTATCGAACGCCGCTGGGGTCTTAATGTTGCACACAGTATTATGTCAAACGACCAGAAATGTTAGAATCAACAGCACGGTGATACGAACCTGCGTAAACTGCGTGCATAATATTATTTTTAACGCGCGAACTTTTTTTTTTTTTTGTCCAGACGTTTGCTTATTACTTCATGTTTTTATTAACGTGTTTTGTATGGTTTTGTTTTTTCCCAGAGTTCACCTGATGTGATCCAAGGACAATGGACCTCGCCCGGAGACCTGTGCAGACACGGAATACTCAACGAGACGTACATATGGATCCGTATCCGTGTTCAAACGTGTCCATGTCAACGTTGTAAAATATTCAATTATTATTCTAACTACGACGACGGCAATACCGTATTAATTATTATAATGTTTCGCGGAAGGATTTGCGTATACCGAAAGCTTTCACCGAACGGAACGCATCGTCGGACGTCTCGTAGTGTTGTCTCGTAATGGGAAAATCTTACCGACGCGGTTCTATTTACATGTATAATAATAAACAGTTGCTAATTTGTGTTTGTACGTTCAATTATCATATTTTGTTGTAATAATTTACGCGTACGGCGTAATCTGTTTTGATGTAATTATACTATTAAAGTATTACGATAAACTTTTCGTCGACATAAGCACTTCTTCGCGTGTAACCTTTTTCGCAGTACTATTATAATGTGTGTAAAAAAAAAAAACCTGAAACCTAAAACCTAAACGAAACACCTCGGCAATAGACGACCACGAATCGAAACACGCGTGCACCGGTTGTCCGATTTGAAACCCCTTCGGCTATCATCATAGCTGTGTTTCCGCACAACATTGAGATCGATTTCGATTTATCCAATTTTATCAACATCGGAAATAACCGTAGCACGGACGTCGTCGAAGGTTGCCAAGGTGTTCTATTTCATAACCGCTCTATATACATACGTACTAATTAAAATATATTTTTAAGTAAATGTGTTAATTTAAGATCATATGATATACTGTTGTTTGTGTACATATAAATACTTACTTTTATCATTTTAGTATCATTTTGGCTATAAAAAAAAAAGAATAATTATTATATTATGTGTATCGTACTTAACTGTATTCAATATTTAAAAAAAAAAAACCCCATCATGAAATGCATCTTTATACCGTTAACGCTTCGATAAGTGATATCGACTGTGTGTTTTTTGGTTAGTTTTATTTTCCCCCTCCTTTCGTGAATGTAATAATGATAACGATTGAATTCTGTGCGAAAATAATACACCGATACAAGTCCAGTCACTTTCTGAGCTATACACCAAACGAATTGATTTAATCGAATTCTCAGCCCCTTTTAGGTCTTGCATTATGTTGTTTTGAAGTAAGAACTGTTTATTTTTTAAAACGCTAAAAGACTGAATTTTAATCTTTCCGTTTTAAGATTACTTATATAGATATTACCTTTTTTCTTTTCTTTTCTCCTCTTCCTTCTCCTATTCCAGACGAAAATTTTAGTTAAACTCGATGATTTTAATGATTCCATTCCATTTCAAATTGCTATTATCTGATCAGGACTTTTAGTCACAGTAACATATTTTCATCTCTTCCCTCATCCACCAGCCATTACCGTCCCAAGGGATGGGAAATCGATTAAATTTAATTTAATTCGGTGGAAATATCTTATCAAATTATCTGCACGGTATCGCACGTGTTGTAGAAGCATAGAATTTCGTTTGTTTTTATTTTCAATTTTGTATTTAATTCATCTACATTAAACTATATATGTATATACATAACTTGATATTTGTCTATATAGTGCCCATATTGTTCGCTAATAAAGTATTGTTGTAATCCCGTCTCGTAGTCATATATTATATCGAAAATATTTTTTCCCTTGTAAAGCCCAAATCTTATAGAAAAATAAAACAAGGATATAGATTTAAATATAACAATTTACTAGCCAATTCCGATTCCTATTGAAACGATTTTTGATTATATCCTTATATTATATATTATAATAATATAGTTTCTTAGAAATATTTGTATATGTTTATGTGTACACAATAAAATTAATATGCATACGATAAAATGATATATTTAAATTATTATTATTACAGTAAAATGATTCATGCCTTAATATGTATTTTTGTGTGAGTGTGTGTATTTTTAGGTTTTTACTACACTTGAAAACGTTAAATTAGTTTTCCTCGACTTCCTCTCACAACCGACGACGCCATCACCAATGCGAGTGGATATTGCGTACATCCTTAACTATATCGTCATATGTCTCGCACATCCACATTCTCGCATTCCCGTCTTTTCTACGTGATATTAAAAAATGATATTTCCATACTTCCGCAGGGAGAGGAGACCTTTTTTTTTTTTTAAATTACTTACCATAGTTTAAGGCCAACATGTCGTTTTTTTACTTGGCCGTGTGGTGACATGCTCATAGCCACAAATCAGGAGCTGTACACAATAATTTATATAATCAGAATATTTTATTCTTACGTATCCCACCGTTACGCAATAGACTTTTAATTTTCACCATTCAAAAAATTATTACAGCGGCCATTCGTTCATATTGAGCACTATAAGAAGTCATTTTAACCTTATCACTGATGTTATCGACATGTTTACGTAGATGGAGTTTAACGTTTCGGATTCTTTGTTCATCACACAACTAAACACAAATAAAATGTCTAATGTATGTATAGCGAAAGCACAACTCTTCGAAGACTGAACGTGTTCGATTCGACAAGCAACAGTCGCTCCGATAAATTATTTCGGAAGAGAGAAAAGACACTATAAATATACTTACAGAAAAAATTAAAAGATAAAAGGATGTGTTTATTTATTATTTATACGATCTAATGGCTATTATTTTTCGAAAATGAACATCGGTCCTGGTTTATTTTCTCAGTACGCCACGTGAATTAATTTTTTACAGCGGACGTCTGATCAGTATTCCAAGTACGGTGTTATAAAAATCGAATAAGCGGTTTCATTTCGAAAATTGTACATTTTACTCGACCAAAAAAGTCCACTAACCGGGTTTTCCCGCACCGACTACATTTACCCACTTAACAACGAATTCAAACGTTTCATCTATTAAAATGATTTGCAAAGCTCTCAGTACAGTCGCATTCCACCACATCTGTCCCCAGTTCTTGTCATCGAGAACATCCGACTGTTAACCGGCGCAGAAGGAATTGCAATACAACTAACACACAATAACTCAAAAATTTTAAACAGTTCAACTGTTCATAAAACAATCCCAGCTCGTTAACTCGAGAACCCAGGAGGACCGACCGACGCGCTATCACGTGGCCAAAGCACTGTCAACTGGTGCAGTTTACACGTGTTTCTTCCCGTGCATATTATGTTGATATGCCGGTCCTGTTCATTTCACGTGATTATCTGTCGTTCGTCCAAAACATTATGGTCGTAAGTATTGTCATGGGACATTATATTAATAATAAACTCGATTGGCTAATATCGCGTTGCCCGATCGACTGATGAAAAAAAAATTATGAGCCTGATCACGTGTGAATTCGAAAAAAAATAAACTAACTGTTGGTGAAATTAAATTTTATAGCGACGTACCAGCAACACTTCAAAGGAAGATATTGGTAAATATTTTTTTTTGTTGAATGGTATTGTTAGCTGCAGGATTTCAATTATTTCGAAAACGGTATTACGAATGAAATACACGCGAACTCCAAGTTTCTCGATCATATGATATGGTGTAGTAGCAGGCGGGCGGATAATAATGTAACACAATGCATTTGCATCCCCGGTTATCACTGACCATAATGTCTAGATCATTGTACTGTATCGCTGTGACAACAATATTAATCACGTATATTCCCCCAGCCCCCTCACCGAAGATATTCTAGAAAATTATTTTGCAGATACTTGTTCGTCATTTGTTTGAATTTGTTTGATAACTGTCAGAATTTGTTCGACAATAGTTTTTGTACAATACCGAAAACTATGAGAAGGGACGGGGGACACAGAAAAATAGGTTTTTCGCTTATAACGGGAGGGGAGTAGCCGAATCGGTTCCCATTTGGCCGAATTGTATCCCGTTTGTCAAAGGTAAAATAGGGACAATTTTAATTTTAACACAATTTACCTACACTACCTATTGAAAATTAAAATTCAGCAGGCCAGTGCATAGAGAGAAAAATAAAATTTTAAAAGCTATATGTATGACATATAGAGACAATTATTATATCGATAAAATTAAGTACCTACAGAAATATAATACACTATAGATTACTAGAAACTAGCAAACTATCGATATTAAGATAACGATTGAAACTTAAAACAACATTCAGACACTAAATTATATTAAATTTTGAAGAAATAATCAAAAGAAACTTACTAGCAAACAAAAAAGATGTAACAAATATTTGGAAAATTGTATGATTGACTACATTAATAAAAATATTACAAGATTTAAATATTTAAAGAAAGTTAGCTTCAAATTTACAAATCAATTATATTTATTATATTTTATTATTTATATTTAAAGTGATGGCAAGTTGACTTCCAAATCAACGATTTAAAATTGTAGAAATGTCATCATTTTTTTTAACACACATGCACAATTTTAACCAAGCCTACTTTAAAGTCGACAATCCTTAGCCTGTTAAATTGAGAAGGAATATGTGCGTAATTAAACGGGAATCTATTCGGCTATATCTAATAAAATACCTTTTTCAGACGTGAACCAATTCGGCATGGAGCTCGGAAATCAATTCGTTACCAGCCAACGGGATTAGGGGTGAAGTGAAGATTTTGAAAATTGTCAAATAAATGGCAAATAAAACGATCGTTAAAAAACGATAATTCCAAAGTATTTAGACTAGTGGTGGGGGTGTGGCATATCTCTTCAGCCCCTTCTCGTACTTGCTAGTATTGTAGAAAAACTATTGTCGAACAAATTTTGATAATTATCAAACAAATGGTGAACAAAATATCTGCAAAATAATCGTCTAGAATATCTGTGGTAACGGGGCTGGGGACATGTTCGTATATTATTCATCATCAAGATGTAGCACGATCAGCCGCTTAATTTAATTTCAGGCGTAGGACAGCATTATTTATCGCCCGTCCTGTCCGGTCACGTTTTATTTGTTGAGAAGGGACGCAGAGATATGGCGATCATATTTTTCAAAAATTACAAAGCGCCTGTTATTCGTCTTTGGCGCGGAAGGGTGGGAGGAATTCAAGATAAGCATTATTGTTTTTTACTGACGAGCATCACCGTTAGTGGTTTAAAATTAAAATTTTATTTTTCCCGACCTGAACACAGTTCGCGGCCCATCCTGTACACGAACACGATCCATCCGCGGGGGGAACGGGTGCCGCCGCCGAGCGGTGCACAGGATGCGACGGCGGTTGAACGTCGTCGCCGGCTCGCAGCGTGCGCGTCACGCGTGCTACAACATGGGCAGGGACACACGTGACGCACGCACGCACAGGGTGTATTTTTAAACGCTGGGCGCCAACGGATATTCTGCGGGCGGCGGCACCGGCATCCGTTTTCGTCCATTTCGAACGCCGACGCGTACCGAGCTACGACAATAATTCGTCGCCTCCGGCCCGCTGACGGTGTCGCGATATCGTTTAGAAAATAAAATAAATACAACGGACCGTCCGCGACAGTAAAATAATTCTACTATCGCGTAACGAACGCGCGTTTCGACGGGATCCCGTCGCCGTCGTCCTCGTTGTCGTCATCGCCACGGCAGTAGCTGATTATTGTTGTGCGCTCGCACGAGGTTAGTGAATTTCGATTACGTAGTGCGCGTACGGTAGGATTGTCGTGCGATCATCGTCTCTCGTCCGTACCGGTATAGATCTCTAAGCAACGATATCGTAAACGTTCAACGACGTTCGACGGTGGAAAACTATTCGCACCCGTACGCTGTGAAACCCGTAACATAAGTTGTCCGACCAACAATTCCGAATCGCGGCCCGACCCACTGGTATCATGAGCCGGAACAGCGAAGCGTCCGAATATTTTGGTTCGTTTTTTTCATTTTGTTTTTAATTTAACTTTTTTTTATAAATTTTACGATTTAATAGTTTCTCCCCTCACCTGGTAAAATATGCCAAACTCCAATCGTGTCCTCCCGATCGTTTTATCGCTAAATACTCGCCTACACGTATATTATTTTGTACCACGCGGAGAATCGATTCGTTTTGAAGATAAACATTTCTTTTTCAAAAACCTCGTTTCCTGGTATCTTTAGAAACCAAGACGTACGTCACGGTTTTTGAACCATCACAAAGGTGCCCAGTACCCCGAAAACTTCACACGTTCTCGCTCCGCACGCGCACATTTTACAACACGGATTCCCCGGCGATACGATGTAACCCATGTATTAACAGTTTTTCCTCCGACGGTGTCGGTCCTTTTTCCGATTCCTTTCTCGGTGAAAACATCGTGTCCTGCGAGGTGGTACTACAAAATATACATACACATATTAAAACGCACACGTGCGCGACGCGTTCGTTCCACTCGTACACGGCTGTCATGTCGGTCGTATGTCGGGTTTCGGATGTTGAATGCCGACGACGCGTCGAACGAGACGAGCATGAGGACCGTTAGGGGAGAACGGGCGCGCAGCGAACAGGAATTTATTTTTCCTGTGCCAAAAAATGTACGGTTCATTACCGCGTGTGTACCGAGTGCGCGAACACGTGTCGTCACGAGATGCGAAAACATTCCGCGCGCGGTTTTCCAATGCAAACCCGACGTTATTTTCTTCGCTCGTCTCCTCCTCGACGTCTCTCCGAACAACCATCGATTAACGTTTTCGAGAATATATATTTACACGCGCACACTCGGTAAAGTATCCGATGAGAGGGAGGGCTAAAAGGCTGTAGTTCCCCCTACTTATGGGTCGTGTTCATGCGTACGTACTGAACTGGTTCACTAGTTAAGGTATCTAAATATTTTGAAATTTCGGTTCTGACTAAATGTTGACGAATAACGGACGTTTGTCATTGGTAAACGCTTAAGCGTATACTTCTACCGTAGTCACTACTATCTTTTCGGTTGGTTATCGTGAACGTTGCGGCTACTCTCGTCTATCTAACTCTCGTCATTTTATAATCTATACCATGTTATATTGTGGTATTAATTATATTTTAATAAATATCGTTAAAATTATTTTTAAATTTCTTTGGTGGTGGTGATGGGGTTATGGGTGAACTCTTAAAAGTATTTCTTATCCAAATCTTCTCAAAAAAGTGTTTAGCCCTTCCCATTTAAAAAAATCCGTGCTACGACATTGCAGTTATAACTGTTTGGGTTGCTTGGCGCAGACACATATGACTAGAAACAAAAATACTATCCAAGCTTGTTCCAAAAACTTTTCTCCACATGACAGTCCGGAACGCAGTGTACGAACCGTTGGGAAACAATGTTAACACCAACTATTTATTCCTATAGTAAACAATAATTATAAGTCCATCGAAAGGTGATTATTGTTTAACTGCGCATGGTTCGCTAAAATTTTAATCCGACAATTCATCACTACATTACTAAAACTAATAGTTAAAAAGAACTGCGATGTCGAAACATAGAGAAAAAATATTTGGTCCTCATAATAAATTATTTATAAGATACTATTATTAAGCAAAATCAAAACTTGAAATGTTTCGTGGTACGTACCGAAAAAAGAGGATTGTGCGCGGGTCGCAGCGGAGTAGTAAAACCTTCGTTTTGTTTTTCCTTCAATGCATCCATATTCACCGACTCAATTCCCTACTTCCAATATTATAAAAAGTAATTTAAAACGCAATAGCTTATTAAGTACTAAAATCTATATTCTAATAGTTCGATTGTATTTTGAAATTCCATGAATTATTCATTAGTCGAAGAACGCCGCCGTCGTTCAAAATAATATGCAATTATTACATACCAGCGAATATTTATAATATAACAATATGTTATATGGATGCAACGGAGTGTAGTATTATAATTGTTCGCCGCTGCTGTCGACGAGAAATATCGCAAGGTAAACAACATAATATCGCGTTTATGACGACAGTGCACATATTAATAATAACATATCGAACCAATATTTAGTGATTATTAAATACTTTAAGTTTGGATGAACGGGGTAAAGTGGCTGGAAATCCCCCTCCGAATATAAATAACAATGTTCCGCTCGCCTAAAGACTTTGAATACTTCGAATAACTACGAGTTCGGTGCTCGATGTTTGTCAACATTTTCACAAGTGATTCGCTTGGCAATAAAATTATTATTATTAATATATTTGCATTTACTCGAGAAATATGAACAGCTTATCAAAAATAATAACTACAATAAAAATACTAAAAATATTTAAGATACAATAATTTTGAAAAAATGTCGAGCGGCTATGATTTTGAACCGTGAAAAAATATTACTTTGTTCGAAAACACATTACCTATACACACGTCTATCGAGAAAACGTATGTTAATAAAACCATATTTCTGTCCAAATAATGATAATTATTCGTTTTTTATTGTCACTCGTTCACCATTTTCTTGGGTGTTAAAAAAAAAAACTGTATCCTGTGATATTCTGAAAATCACAATGTAGCATACGATTTGCGGCCAATGATATCGAGGATTTTATTTAAAATAAATTCACCACGTGCACGTGTAAAGTAAAACGCAATGTTCGTGTAACGGGATGCGCTGTCGATCGGTAAAAATCGCAACACCAATATATCGTCAAATATTATATTCGATTATGCGCATTATTACAATTATTTTCAGTACTATACGGTACTGTACGTGCTTACGTAGAACAATATTATGGTTTGTAATGGTTCATACGTATAAATGATTTTACAATGTATATGTTTTATTTAATTTATACAACAACGAACCACGGCATAAATTAACAATTGATCATATTAAAAAATGAAAAGGATTTATAGGCATTATTATTTCGGTGCGAGAACACAACGATTGAAATTAGGAGTATGCGTGTCAGACGATACAGAATTCGAATTACTTTTTTAAGTTTTTCGATCGCATGAACGTGTATACGAAGAAAAGTTAAAATTAAAAAACATAAACCACGTTTTATAACCATAATCGTTCCGAAACGTATACTTAACGAAAGAATAGTCAATAATAAATATTAACTTCACATTCTTAATTTATATGTATAAATTGTACACTGCAATTGTAACTTTAAACTTCATCGGGTTGAAATATATACCTTTAAAGAATTTAATTAAATATTTATTTATTTCTTTACAGTAAAAATGGTGGTAGTTTTTTATAAATATCAAACTGTAAGTTATATAAAAAAAAAAAAAATGTATTTATATCTCCATATTATTTTAATGAAATTTATAAACTTCAGATACTTAAAAAGAAAAATTAGTGTTTTCTTTCAAATATTTTAATTCTGAAACGTACTACGTATAACTGCGTATAACTGATACATAATATTTTTAGTAATGTTTGCACAGTTTTATATAATATCATAATAGGTATTACACTAACGTTGATATAGTTTAATCAATTTTAATTTTTTCGATAAAACATCTGCAAGTCACTGATGATTATGAATATTTTGTTTAAATATTAGCTTACATTTATTTTTATTAATAGCAAACGTGTTTTTATTGGTTCATTAATGTAAATATTAATTTCCAAGTGATTCTAAATGAATATAATACATTCGTTCAACATAATAATATATTATATTATTACGTTTAAATATACCTCTAGTATTATTATTTTCTGTAGACGAAAATATCAGTTAATCACTGTCGCAATCATTCATACCATAGAACAAAATACTCGTATAATAGACATTTTTTTAAATAAATAATTCATGATTGAGTCACATATTGGAGTGCGCACGCGTGACGCCTACTTACTTATATATCTTATGGCGCCCAGACGAACTTATTGTTAATGGACATTATTTATTTTTGTGTAATGCTTTTGTATTAATTGACAGATACAACTACCAAGTGGAAAATATTAATTTCAAATTAGCTGAATACATATATTTTGTTGACATTTTAATTAGAACCGATAAAACAGGTGTGTAAGATACTAAATTGTTGATAAAAATCCATAATTTGATAAATACAATAAAATGTAATTGTTGGTGTATTATCAATAATATGTTTTCAATATATATATATTTTTTTTTTATGATACGAGATTTGAATTGGTTATGGCATTGATTATAACACTATATACTTTTTTTCAAATATTTGTGCGCAATTTGCCTTGTTAAGTTTATACCATTTATCTATTGCAGTGGTTTTCAACCTTTTTAATAATGCGGCACACTTCATCTCCAACAAAATTTTCGTGGCACACCAATCCATATATTATGTGGACCATATTTGATACATATATATGTATACTAATTACAGTCTACTCTATTAGAGGGTTATTTATTGTGAAATATATTAATACAATCGATAGATCGAGACGGCTGCGACGGGCATACTTACAATAAATAATATAAACATATATACGATTAGTTCGATCAGTTTTCATCTCGAATATCAATAATAAGCTGGTAAATACATACTTAAAAAACAATTTATAGATTTATTGCGGCACATTTAAAGGGCCCTCGCGGCACACCAATGTGCCGCGGCACACCGGTTGGGAAACACTGATCTATTGTATCAGTGCATTTTTTAACTAGTTAACTAGGCGACACAAATGTCGCCCAGTGATTATACTCTGTCGATAATATTTTGAAAGATTGGGTGAAATAATGCGATACAAACGTACTATAGTTTGTTATAATCGTACTATGGTATTACATTGACTATTTTGAGAAAAACATTTTTTGTCGCCCAGTGAAAATTCTTTATAAAATACACTGTATTGTATCATATTGTTGTCGACACTAAAACACGAACCGAGTCCGTCTGCCGGTATTCAGTTCCGTTCTCAGCCAGAATTTTTTCAACCGGTCCCAAAACGTGCCCGGTAGATTCGAATTCGAAACCGTTGGTCGCCACCGACGGATTTCAAAC